ACTAGTCAGAATCAGTCAGATTTTACTGGAAATCGATCCCATACTCGGTTCGCTGACTATTGCGAGGACAAAAAAGAGAGTAAATACGATTCTCTCTCTGTCAGAAGCTACCAGTTTTAGTCCGAGAATTTTTTGCTGGTAAATAGTTGCGATCCCGCACGAGTCCGGACTAGTCAGAATCAGTCAGATTTTACTGGAAATCGATCCCGTACTCCTCTGACTATTGAGAAGACAAAAAAGAGAGTAAATACGGTTCTCTCTCTGAATTCTGGTAAATGTGTCAAACGATCAGCTGTAGTGTGTTTGGCAACCAAATTGTAAACAAAAAAGTATCATTCCCTAAATCAAGTTAAAAAGTATTTAGTTACTTGTTTAAGTGGATTCTAATGAATTTGAAAGTATTTTTGGTTATTTGGAGGTTATGTTGAAGTTGACAGAAGTTACAATGTTACTCTCTCCCTCTCTCTGAGCGAATTTTTATTTTTTGACAGTTTTACTAGTTTCTGTAAGAGGAATACGGGATTGCACCTTCTGCTAGTAAAAATTTCACTATTACGCTCTCGATTCAGGGCCCTCCTGCAAATTTTTTGGGTTAATATACACTTTTCCAGTAAAAATTTGCAAGTTCCAGTATAAATTAGTACTATTTTTTACTATACAAACCTACTATTTCGTCTAAATTTTTTCTCCTTTTTTGCAGTCATTTTTTCTAATTTAGTGGTTTCTATGCAAATATCTATTATTAGTTATTTATAGGTTTATTTAATGTTGTACAGGATTTGTATAGTATATATTACTTAGGGCTTACACGAGACAATATTGTCAAGACAATTATGTCAAAATGCTGTGTTTGTTGTAAACACGGCGAATTCATATTTCAACAAGCACATCACTTTGACATAATTATCTTGACAATATTGTCTGGTGTAAACCCCAAGTTAACGTGTACATAAAAAAATAATTCTCCGTTATTTCAATAAAACCTTTATGGATAGATTTTTTATTTCCATATCAATTTAAAATTAACACATTCATTTAAACTTAGGTTATAATAGTTAAAAACACTCCAGTATTCCAATAAAGTCTATTAACGTTAAATATTTTTCTTAAATACGTATAAGAAAATAATGTAAGAAGATATTAAAAACATAAGTGAATCAAGCTTACGAAGAAATTGATATAGTACATTTTGAATGCATTAAATCGCAATATTTTATATATAGTTTTCCTACTATCCAATAAAAGAAATTTAAATCTATAAACCAAGAAAGAAATATGTATAAATCAAGAAGAAATATGAACCCTAAATTAAGTAACGTTTTTAGATGTACTTAAAACCAAAACTAAGGCTACACATGCACATGACATTCTGATAGATCAATCAGTATATAATTCAACCTAAATTCTAAGCTGCCTTGTATTATTGTCTATTGTTTACACTATCCCCGCCATTATTCATCGAATTCTCCATGTTTTTAACAATAACATAATTAGTTATGTGATTTATGGCTTCATCCTGCAACCGGTCTGGCCAACGTCTCATATACGATTTAATAAAGTCTCCAAATGTATCAACTTTATCCGGAGTGGCCTTGTGATTATCGACAATATTTTTGACAATGTCCACAAATTTATCATATTCTTCAGACGGTTTTTTAATTTTGATGTTGTTGTTATTATTGTTATTATTGTAGTTAGGTAAAACACCATTTGTGTTATTAGGTGCTGTATTAAGTTGCGCTGAAGCTGCAGCTACAGCCGCCGCAGCGGCTGTGGAGGCCATAAAGTTCACATCGTTGTTTTGATTGGGTGGCGGTTGGGTGTGATCTATAAACTGTCGGTGCATTCCATATTCAGATCTATGATGAATTAAAAAAAAAAAA